GGTGTCTCAAAATAATGTATACACTCTTTAAATATTAATAGTTAATAATACATTACCATGATGTGAGAACGTATATGGATGAAAATATGCAAAACAGATGGATTGGAAGAAGAGGGACAGTTGAATACCCACCTAGATCACCAGATTTGACACTCTTGGAATTCTTTTTGTGGGGATTTTGAAAAGACAAAGGTTACAGCAGGAAACCTGAAACAATTGCTGAAATGAGAGTAGCAATTGAAGAAGAATGTGCTCAAATACCAGAGGAAATGATACTGGACGTTTGTAGGTCTATTTCTTCAAGATATGAAAAGTGTATTTAACAGAACGGCAACCAATTTGAGCACTTGATGTGAACTCATCATTATATGAACATTCTGCCATTCCAAGTAGCTTTTATCTTATTAAAGTTAATTTTCTATGTTTTTTTTGTATATTTTACTCTCAAATTCTTTAAATATGTATTCTTTCTCTTGTATTAATCTTATTTACAAGTCAAAATACATAAATTGAATAAGTTATAACGATTCAAAGAGTGTATACATTATTTTGGGACACCCTGTATTAAATGAAATAAAATGTCTATTCATCGTTGAATAATTCAGGAATTTTATTTATCAAGTTAACATGAAAAATTCTATAGTTTATTTTTACTATATCATTGAAAGAGTCTATTCATAGAGATTTGCCCATCTCTGTAGTGTTGTTTTCCTGGTGGCATAAAAAGTATTATACATGCACATAAAATGGTGAGGAAAAATTCTTGGCCCAATCAAAAAGAGGTTCTCTCCCAACCCTGGAAAAGAAAAATCAAAAATCTTATATTCAGTCCTAATTTGGTAAGTAGGATGGGCCGAAAACTTTTCAACACTGTGGGTGTACATAAATGCTTTGTTTTCAATATGTACATTCTTTGACTTGTATTTCTTTCATCTTAAATTCAATTGCTTATTATCACAACTCTGATCATCATTCTGTAGTCAGTAAGAAATGTAGATGAGAAATAAAAAATAAGCCTCTGCCTTTTCCTCTGGTAGCCTGTGGCATCTGTCTTACCAGTTAGACCATGGTGCCTGCTGGCTAATCATTCAAATCTAATTATATAACCGTTCCTTATCTTGTCCAACTGCTTGATACGTCACCATTTTTATTTACATTTACTTACTAGTAGTATTATTAATATTTTTAATCTTTTAAATGAAGTGCTATCAATTAAATAGTAATTTAATCGTAGAGTGAGTTGTTAAGATGAAAGAAATCCTAGTTGAAGAATAGTGCTTTATGTAAGAAATTTAAAAGTAAAAACTTTTCTGTCTGAATTTCTAGGATGAGGAATTATCGTCATTTACATTTGAACTAATTAGAACAAGACAAGATATCCCTAGAAAAGATGGTAGAATGTGAACAGTTTAACCCCATTAAATAAAGAGTACAATTTTAAGATTCGCTGAAAGTTACCTAACTAGACAGATGGATATGTGAAAAATCAGCAGGCACAATAAAACATGATAACAATAAAGATAATGACATTATTAATCCTAATGTAAATAGTACTTTTTTCTTTATGAATATGATACTGTTTTTAATTTTATTACAAATCATGATTAATTCCTGTATCAACACTATAGTAGTTAATAAACTGAAAAAGATTAGTAATACCTAATGAAGTTATGGTGATAGATTTTTTTTTTTTTTTTTTTTTTTTTTTTTTTTCTCCCAGAATAGTGAAAGAAGTGTTATTTCATAATGAACTGACAAAAATTACTATCGTGTAGGGTACAAAGCTGTATTCTGTCACTGTAACTTCTTAAACAACTAAACTGCTTAATTTGGGGTGGGGAAGTTTTTGTTGATAAAAAGAATTCTCTTGTGATCCTACAATTAAATGACTTGTGCTTGTATGGAAGATAAATCTGAAGAAATATTTAAAATCTGAACATCGAGTTGTCAAATCCGTTTCAAGATAAAAAGTTCACATGTAAACTAAAAGATACACTATACACTTTTATTTATTTTTTTAACTCATTTTTTATATTTACATTTCAGAAGTGTGAAATAAAAATCCTATAGTCACATGTAAGGATGTTAAGTTAATAGGGTTGTTGTAAGTAATTCCCACAACCTGCTCCCCCTGTTTGGTGTAATGGACAGACTCCAGAAATGCTTATAAATAAGCAGAATTCTTTTCTTTTTGTAGCTGTATTAAGTTGAATAAAGCTTTCCTAAGTTTATTCGCTTCAGGTTATTCATTACAATTGAATTTATTCAACTTAAAATAATGGAACGATACCTCAAGCCTGACCGCCTGGAACTTGATACGTCAGACCCTGACTCTAGTGACAAATGGCAACATTGGAGGGATATGTTCAAGGGATTTCTTTTGGAGCTGCAGTCTTCTTCTACGTCGGCATTGACTGGCTCACAGAAATTAACCCTCTTATTACACCATGTTTCCACTCCCATTTATAAGTGTTTGTTCGGGTGTCAAAATTACGATACTGCTATAAGCACTCTGGATGGTATGTTCATTAAGAAGAAAAACTCCATTTTTGCAAGATACTTACTTGCTACTCGGCGTCAAGAGCTGTATCTTCAAAACCTGAAAATATTAAGTCGCAACTGTGATTTTACTGCCCTGACAGCAAGCCAAGCTAGGGATATCTTAATAAGAGATGCCTTCTTCAGTGGAGTACGGTCTAACCAAATCAGACAAAGGATGCTCGAAAACAAGGACTTGGATCTGGCTACCGCCTACGAACTAGCCCTTACGTTGGACATGGCCCAGAAACAATCAGATCTCTATTCACAACCTGATTTTTCAGGGGCTACTATTCTTGCCCATTCTCATTCCCAACAAATTCCCATCTCAAATTCACAACATTGTGACCCCCCCCAGGATAAGGATTCTTCAAATACTATTGAACAACCTGTTACTATCGCTTCAGCTGAGGTTAAGTGCTACTTCTGCGGCCTTTGTAAACACGCTCGTTCATCCTGCCCAGCTCGAAACAGTAGATGTCATGGATGTGGCAAGCAGGGACATTTATACAGAAAACCCTTTACAGAAAACCCATTTAGCTGCCACCCTATCTCTATCTACCATATCGACTGTCTCTCCCAAATGCCTCTCTAAAACAATTGTGCCGGCCAGAGTGAACGGACTAAATCTCCACGTTCTTATTGATACGGGGAATTCTGAAAATTTTATCAATGCACATATCGTGGAAACAATCAAACGGAAAATCTTTTCCTGTTCTAATCAAATATTGATGGCCACTTCGTCCTTATCCTGCTGTGTAATCGGATTCATGGTTAACCTCGAGCTAAAAGAAAATTTCTATTCTAAAATCAAGTTGCTGGTAATGAGGAACCTCTGCTGTGAAGTAGTTCTAGGGCACAATTTCCTTAACCGACATTCTCACCTTACAATTCTGTTCGGTGGTATCAAACCAGCGCTGCAAATATGTGGATTAGCAACTGCAAAAATCCAGTATCCATCTCTCTTCTCAAATCTAACCTGACTGCAAACCTATAGCCGTAAAATCTAGATGCTATTCGCTCAAAGACAAGGAATTTATTGCAATGGAAGTGAAGAGACTTCTTAAGGAAAATATTATAGAGCCCAGCAAATTGCCATGGAGAGCCCAGGTCCTAATAACGACTAATGAAAACCATAAAAAGAGGATGGTTGTTGATTATTCCCAAACCATCAACAGATATACACAGCTCGATGCATATCCGCTGCCCCGTATTGACGAAATGGTTTCCGATATCACTAATTTCAGCACGTTGGACCTTAGGAGTGCCTACCATCAGATACCCATCAAGCCGGAGGAAAAACCTTACTCGGCATTCGAAGCTTGTGGGCGTTTATATCAATTCCGTAGGATCCCTTTTGGGGTTACAAATGGGGTCGCAATTTTTCAAAGGGTAATAGACAAAATCATTTCTAATGAGAAATTGAAGGGTACTGTGGCATACATAGACAATGTCACTATTTGCGGTTATAATGAGGAAGATCATAACCACAACCTCAAACGATTCATGGCCACCGTAAATAAATATGACTTGACCCTTAATGAGGAAAAGTGTTCATATAACTTGAAAAGCATCAAGCTACTAGGGTACATAGTCAGGAATGGTGCCATGAGACCGGACCCCGAGTGACTTAAACCCCTAACGGAATTACCAATTCCTGGAAATATAGCTGCATTACGACAAGCCTTTGGCATGTTTGCCCATTATTCCCAATATGAAGATGCAAATTATTTTAATTTCTAAAATGCAATGAAGTAAACACATCCAAGAAGCTTCATTCTGTAGTTGACAACTCTGATTTTCAGAATCAGAACTAAGTTACCTAACTAAATCCTAGGTACTAAAATATGAAGTACCTCGGATTTGGTTAAGTTAAATTTAATTCTGATTCTGAAAATTTGAGTCCTTTTTCTGTATGGCATAAAACACTAATACAGTGTAACCCGGATATAAGAAATTTTCTCTGGTTCCAAATTAGAGCCTGTGTTAATGTATATAAAATAGACCAAACCTGGATATAAGAGACTTCTTCTCCGGTCCCGACAACTCTCTTATATCCGGGTTACACTGTATAACTGGGAAACTTATCTTTAGACTGGATATTTTTCATGATAGTTGTTGGTAGCCATGTCAATCTTTCTTTAAGGTTAATTGCAATCCTTTTAATCGATGTAAACTTTTCGTATCATATTTTTCTTAGTATTGTTACCCACCTCTACTATAAAAAAGTGAATTCATTAAAATTGATTTGAAACTTTGTAAAATATTACTATTAATAGAAATAACTGAAAAGCTTTAAGAATTTAAATGTGTTTTCAGAATTAAAATAAAATTGTTCATTTTAAATTGGTTCTGATATTATTTTTAAAATATTCATCTCATATTTTAATTTCTCTATGAAATATTTCAGTGAACACTAACATGACAATTCTTGTATTTATATTCATTTATTTTTATTTTAGGCTGGTGTAATTGAAGGGTCTGTGATAATGGCTGTCATCGGATTTATAAGGTTGGTGATTTATCTTGTTACAGCTGTGTTTTTGTTTTATTCTTATATCTCTTTGTGATTGTTTCTATCACCTCTGTTTAAAAGCGTTCTATATGTAATACTTTGACATCTTTTGCAAGACATTCCCCTGCTCTTGTCTATTATGAATGAAGCAATCACTTTTAAAATCTAAGTTCTTGAAATTGAATTTTGCTGCTATACTTTAAGATATTAGTCATTACTACTCTCACCTACCCAAGGTGAAACAAAAATTTATTGAAATACACTACAAAAAATAAAAATCAATAAACATCTAAAACTTTAAATGTCAATTTTTTTTTTTTTTTTTTTTTTAAACTGGCTTTAAAATAATCTGTTGAAAAATAACTTAAATCTATTTGAACTTATCCTCATCTTGATTGTTGTTGTCATAGTGTTTCAGATAAGTTGACAATTGGGAATTTTAAACTTAAATCCATAAGAGTTGTTGGTCAGTTTGTTACTCTTTAAAAGTAAAATCATATTTGTGCCCCACTCTCTCCTCCATAAAAGGAGTAGTAGTTACACCGTTTCATCCAATTCCCCTTTCCTCCCCTACCACAACCCTATAACATAAATACAGTCTCTCCCAGAATTCCAACTTTTGGTCAACCAGTCACTGATACTTAAAAGAAGGGAAAATTTCATGCCAACCGTCATGGTCAAATCCTGTCTTTTCTGAAAGTAATGTAATGTACATGTTCGTTTCTAATTTTAATATTTTATTTTTCTTTATCTTTATTTTGGACCTGTTAGCTTAATGTTAGTTTCAATCGCATATTGTTTTACTAGAGTAATTGGACTTATACTAAATTAAAACTTAATCATTTTATTATCTTCTGCCGCCTCATTAACTCTGTGTGGAGGGAGTCTTCTTCTCCACCCACCACCACTATGTATATGTATTCATATCTGTGACACACACACATATATATATATATATATATATATATATATATATATATATATATATATATATATATATATATAAAATAGAGGTAATAAATCTGTTGGTATATAATCCAAATCGATCCTAGTAATATGAAATATATGGCAGCAAACAACCTGCATAAAGATAAAAAATGAGTTCAGCAGATCTACAAAAATAGACATGTGCGTAATGCGTGTCTTCTCACCAGACTTATTCAACCCGCACAGCAAGGCAATTCTGAGAGAACTGGAAATCCTACCAGAATTTATCATTGGAGGCCACAATCTTAACAACATAAGATACACAGATAACACATTGCTGATAGCAGACACGAAAAGGAAAACTACAAAACCTCCGATAGAAAGAAGGTAGTGAAGGAGAACAAGAACGGTCTAAGCATAAACTACAAGAAAACAGAATGCATGTCATCAGCAAAAAGATAAATCCAAAATACAATTTACAGGTAGGTTACACTATAATCAAGCATGTTCAGAAATTTAAATATCTGGGAAATGTTCTGACAGAGGCCAGAAAGTGCAACGTTGAGATTTGAAGATATATTAGGATGGCCAAGATGCATTCCAAAAGCTAGGCAGAGTATTACGAGACAGGAAGGTTTTGTTGACAACAAAGAAAAGGGTACTTAACTGCTACATGATATGTCCTCCTTTAAGGTAGTGAATGTTGGACAGTCTCCTCAAGGATGAAGGAGTGAGACTCTAGGCAACAGACGTGTGGTTCTACAGAAGGATGCTAAGGATAACATGGACTGAACATGTGAGCAACAATGAGGTTTTGGAAAGGATGCAACAGAGAGGAAACTTATATTTAACATCAGGAAGAGGCAGCTGAAATTTCTGGGACACATAATGAGAAAGGAGGGTTTGGAAAATCTGATACTCACATGGCTGAAAGAAGGACAAGGGAAATCAAAATGTCTTACTTAACAGGCTTAAGCAAGTGCATGGCAGAACAGGGTCTGAGAGAAATAGCAAAAAGACAAAACTTATTGAGAGCTACAAGAGACTGGAGAAGGTGGAGAGCTATGATTGCCTACATCCTGAAGGGACACGTCATATAAAAAATTTTCGTTTTCTACTGTCCATGCTAAGAAATATTTTATGGCTTAGTTGATAAAAAGCATTATGTACATTTAATTTGCTGGTTGTTAGGTGTTTAATCAGGAGGTGAAGTGCATAGTTCAGTGGTAAAATGAAAAGCATCACCGCAAGGCCAAATTAACAAAGAATTTTAATAATATCTGGCTGCTCGTTTCTGAATATACCTGTCTGCTAGGGTGGCTAGTTAATCCCTGTTGCAGACACCTGCTTAGGCAGATTTCTCCAAAACCCACAGCCAACCTATGGTTTATACTGTAACTATACTGTGTGGACCTTAGTTACAGCTTCTGGGAGAGAGCACATAATCTGGTGTGATTTATTATTTGAACAGAGCCAGTACACCTAAACCCTTGGCCATGATGATTTGTAAGTTTGTTACCACAACATTGATGGCTTTCAAACGGTTTTATCTACCTATTTCACTTACAAAGCTTGGGTCAACATGTGGTTTGGTTTTCAAGCACTTTGCAGTGGTGCTGCATGCTGAAATTCTCTCCCTATTCTGATTAATATATCACTTCTTTAGCAAATCAACCCGGGTGGTATATGGACCAAAGTCTCATAGTTGGAATACTAACATTCTAACCATTTGGTTATGTACTTGTAAAGGAGAATTAATTGATACAAACTATCCCTAGCCTGGAACAAGAACAATTTAATATTTCCATGGACTAAATAAAGACTTTGGTTGTAAATTTCCAGGTTACTGAATATCAAAGCGCCCAACAGCCAAAACATGACAATAACAATGATGGTAGAGGACCCATAGAAATATTGTAGATGTTAAAAAAGATATCATTATATTTTCATATATAATAACCACAACATTCTGCACAAATGCACACAAATACACTATGAAAGGAAAAAAAAAAATTGGCATTGCACCAATGAAAAAAAACAAGAAATATAAAGAGGTCCATTGCTGGAGGGGCTGTCTCTGAAACTTTGGGATCAGGATGCTGAAGATAATAGCAATCAACTAAGTGACAAACTCTGTATTTTATATACATATATATACACACACACATTTATGCAATTATTGACAGAATAGCTATATTATATGTACTTAGTAAATCTAAATTTATACATAAATTAATAAGCAAAGGAACAAGTAAGCAAAGCAAACTGATACATTTTGATAACACTTCTATGGAGTTGATTAGACAACAGTTAACAAATCCTTTCATAATTTCAAAGCATAATGGTTGTACATACAAATAAGGCAAATAATAATGCCTCCTATCAGAAACTTGGACAAAGATGTTAATTTCTAATCTTCAGAGGGCTTTCACAATTGAAGGAAGTCTTTTGATAAAACAATGAGTATAGATAAATAATGATGTTCATAGCTATGAAGATTTTTAATTATTGTTTAACTGTTTTGCTCTCAATACTTGTCAATTGATACCTGGAACATCTGGAATTTATTTGCTTAAAGTATTCTCCTCCACCCTTTTTTTATTTATTTTTCTTCCTAAGATCAATATCATTTCACTTACAGCTGGTCAAGTTTTTTTCCCCTCTCTATTTATAATATACTAGCATTGTAACTATTCAAAGTGACAGGAATATTTCTTTATTGATTGGCATTTTTGCCTAGGATCAGAGTATAGAATCTGTACACTCTGTGGAAAGTGCCATCACACATACATCTCTATCTCGTGTATATATATATATATATATATATATATATATATATATATATATATATATATATATATATATGGGACATTTTGTCTAGGTAGGCAGTATCAAAATAGATCAGCAGCTACATTTTCCTTCTGTGGCACAATATGCACCTAACCCAATAAAATTATTATGCATAAAATGCAAAACTTTTTTTTTTTTTTTTTACTACATAAGTCACAAGCTGCCTGCCCTGATTAATTATTGATGGCACATGCCTTTATATATATATATATATATATATATATATATATATATACACCACCAACTCCTTGAGTGCTTCCATCACTGCTGTCTCTACCATCCTCAACATTCACTAGAGTGACTACATCACCAATGTTGAGGTTCTCGAACAGGCAGAAATCACCAGCATTGAAGTCACAGCTATGCTGGGCAGGGCATGTCTCCAGAATGGGGGATCGTTGTGACAGGGGCACCAAAAATGTGTTATATGGACTCCTTCAAGAAGTCCCTTGGTACCTGCCACATTGACCATTGCCAGTCATTGACTCTTGCTGCTGATCAAGCCTGGCATCACACCATCCACCAGGCCATCTCCACCTTTGAGGACTCTTGCAGGGCCAACCTGTAGGAGAAACACCACAGGAGAAAGGACCGGGAAGCCTCAGCAGCTTGACCAGACATTTAATTGCAGTCACTGTAGCCAGACTTGCCTGTCCTGCATCAGCCTAGTCTGGCCATCATTTTATAAATATTCATTTGCAAAGCCAGGCCAAGAAAGAGATTATATATTAATATCCAGCACTTCATGACCTCTCATCTGGGAGAAATGGATTCATGCTTTTCTCAAGGATATTAGTGCGAATTGAACACCACCGACATCATATGGAATTTCCATTGTTGGTTGATTTAATTTTCCCTGCTGTTAAACCTTTAGGTAAACTCTGCACCTCCACAAATTTAAATGAATGATGTCATCATCAAACTAGTTTACAGATGGTAAATCTGAACAGTTTTCCTTTTTGACTTTATTTGATAGACACTTTTTACCCCAAGGTATATCAGTAAGTCTGCAACTTAATGGTCTAAATAGAAAAACAAATAAACAAAAACTTAGTTTATCTGATAAATATTTATTTTTTTCAAGATAATCGCTTTCCTTGTCAGTGCACTTAATTCAATGATTAGTATTAATCACATACAACAATTATTATACAGTGAAAGTTTCAGATAAAAATTGCTCCGTTAATAATTGCATATGTTCAGTTAATAACTGCATTCAT